CATGGAAATATATGTATATATATACCTACATAGACGCACATACATACATGCATATATACAGCCATATACATATAATATTAATGCACACACCCATGGAAATGTTAATGCATGTGATTTTGTAGCATAGAGGCACTCCGTCCAGCAATGCGTTAATTATTTTTGTTACCTGCACTGCCGTCCGTTCGGCGCTCTCTACTTGCTCTCGCATGCTCTCTCTTTCCCTCTCTCGCTCTCTGTTGGCCCAGGCTAACGACACAAACACAATTGCACGAGCGCCTGTGTATGTGTGTGTGTGTGTGTGTGTGTGTGTGTGTTAAGTTTTGGGCATCTTTAATGCTGGCTGTAGCTTCGGCAGTGAAGCTGCCTTTGGAGCTGCGCGCGCCAATAAGCCCCAGTTGTTGTTCCTGCTTGTGCTTCCTTTGGGCAACGGCCGCAGTCGCAGCATACATACATATTTACATTGCTAACTATTGATTCACGAACACACAGGCACACATGCAAGCATATATATGTATGCATACATACTGATAGACGGCACACACACCTTTTGTTCTTTTGTATGCTGCAAGGCATTAACAGGCTAAGCAACATGCATGTGAATGTGTGAATGTATGTATATAAGTATGGATATTTACAAGAGCATGTGTACCTGCCTTTGCTGCCGGCGTCGGCGTCAACTTCAGAGCGCACGTTTGCTCGATTGCTTTTACCTCACGTTCTGCTTTTCGTTCTGCTGTTGCTGCTGCTTTTCTTCTTCTTCTTGTTGTTTTGTTTTTGCTGAAATTCCTATTCCTGTGCAGCGTTTCTGCTTCTCTGTTTGTTGTGCCCTCTTGAAGCTAGCGTAATTTGCCAAACCCATTGTTTGTGCACCTCTTATATCCGTGAGTTGTGTATGTGTGTGTGTGTATTCATGTCCTTTAATACTGAAAAATAAACTTTTCTCGTTTTGAGTGCGCTGCACTTGCGCCGCGCTGCCGACAGGTACAACATACTTGGCCGCTCTTCGCTCTCAGCTCTCTTGCGCCGCTCACTCGCTTGCGCTTGAGCCAGCGTTTCGTTTGTGTCAGCTCAGCTCACAGTCGCAGTCGCAGTTTTAGTTTTTCAGTCTATGGCTGACTTTGTTCGCAGAGAGAGGTAAACGTTTTGTTGTCGCGTCGCGCAGTAAAAGCAACAAGCAACAATCAACAGCAAAAATAATAACAGCAAATATAACTGTTCGCAGACCGGCAAACACACAATGACAAATGTCTAATGACAATGATTTTTGTTTTGCAATTCGTAGTTATCTTTTGGTCGATTGACAACAAAAGCATTGGCCATTACGCGTGTATGTGTGTGAGTGTGTGCGTGTGTGTGTGTGTGTTTACGTGTGTGTTTGTGTCTGTGGGCCCTTAGAACTCATTAAATTGTAATTAAACTCCAAAAGCATCAACAACAACAAAAACATAAGCAAGAGCAAAGCGAATCTTGCTGTCTCTTCGTTCTTCTAGTCGTTCTACATCTTTCTCCTCTTCTTCTGCTTCTTATTTATCTACTACTTTAGTACATCATTCGCTTTGCAATTGCTTTAGTTTAGTGCAGTTTTGTAAACTAAAGTGTTGCCAGATCGAGCAGGTTTTAAAGCTTTTGTTGCTGTTAAAATTGAAATGTTTGTACAAGTGAAAAAAGTGGCAAAAACTATGCGATGTCCGTCTGTGTGAGTGTGAGATTGTGTGAGTGTGAGAGCGTGTGTTTGTGTGGTCAACATGCAACGTCAATGGCTACTGCAGCTGTGAGCTGTTGCAGTAGCAGCAGCAGCAGTAGTCGTAAAAGCAATGAACGACGACAACAGCGAAAATTTCTTTCGAAAGTGCTGAGAAATTGGTCAAACAACTTTTTACAGTCGATTGTTGCTGCTGCTGTCGTAATTTATACCTTGGTCAATAAACAACAACAGCCACAATAAATGCAATCGAAAATACAATTGCTTTAGTCTGTCTGTGTGTTTTTTGTTTAGCTGTTGCCCGTTTCGTATTGCGCGCATGCGCAGATTTATCGCAACATTTTTTGTTAACGTGTTTTATTTTTTTATGTGTGCGCCTGCATAGGCAGCGCTTCAAATAACTAAAATGTGCCAGAGTGCAGGATAAGGCCATATCAAGCATATCAAACGCACAACAACAACAACAACAACAAACAGCAAAATGCGCATCCTGAAGCAATGGTGAGTGGAAGTGCAACTGAGGCTCTAACCGGGTGATGGTTTGTCTGTGATTTATTTGAGTGAATGCAACACTAACACTTGCATTCCTCAACACATTGTTATTGTTTGTTGAAGCTAACATAATCAACAAATTTCCTGGTTCATTCTAAGTTTTCTTTTCTTTGATCTACAACTGCGTTTTTGTTAAATTTACACATGCACATACAAATTTATTTTTCACATACAAATGTTAACACTGCACAACAGTATTTGCTTTTCAGAATAACCAGCGTGATTTTCAGTTTCATCCTGTAGATTTATAAATAGATAATATAAAGATCAAATATCGTATTATAACATTCATTTATTTACAATTTCGAGCAGAGAATATATTCTATAAAATATATTAATATAAGTTAACTAAAAGTATTGATTGCGATCTTTAAGATCGGGTATAATTAAATTAATTGCCAAAATGGGTGGCAAACGAACCAAGTTTCCGCCGATTAAACATTCATTCTATTCTATTTTATAATTTAGTTAGGTACTTTAAGTGTTGAAAAACCTCAATTCAAATTATGAATGTATTACTTTTAATATTTAGTAGGTCGCCTTCTTTGTTTTCAACTGCTTTAAGGCGCTTTGACATTGATAATAATTTATTTGTTCTCATATTTGGTTAAATATAAAGCGGCATTCTACCTTTATAATGCACATCTTTGTCAAAAATACAATGTTTTCTAATAGTTGTAACCAAAACATCCCATCGATTACTGGCAATTATATAGGCGCCAAAACTGAATAATTACAGATTTGTGTTTTGGTAGATTGTCCTGGCATAATCGAAACTAAATTTTGGTTTACCTGGGAAATCAGTTTGTTTGCAGTCTCTGGTCACATTCTGACCAGTGAAAGTAGATGCCCGTAGAATCTACTTTAGGGATTAGCCATTACTTTGTAGTATAGTATAACGAAAACTTATTCTGCCACTGCCTGTTGTCGTGTCTATGTGTGCAATCACGCTGTCTCCTAGATATACATCCCATTTTGTATGCAAACCACGATGACAAAACACTACAGAGAGACATTACGTATATTTCGTGGCCTGCACCGTAAACGAAGTGCGCTCGTCCATATAAAAATAATTGCATAAGCAAAAAGCGTGCATTACATAAACGGACAATATCCACATTTTAAAGATTTAGTCATATTTCATGAAATGTGGCTTTAAGAGGAATAAACATAGGACGCAAACCGCGCTTTTTACACGAGCCCGGCAAATCCTATTCCCCAATCAACCATTGTAAAGGGAATTCAGTCAAATATTCAGCCAATTTTCTCGCCTGTACCGCACTAGGGGAACCAAAGAGAAGAACGGGAGTAGATGTGAAATACCTAGCATAGCAATAGTCTGCCACATTCTCGACCGAAACCAAAGCCGAGGTATGAACCGAAGCCGGACCACAGCCTCGTGATACGTGATGTGTGATGCGTGATTCGTGATTCGTGCCTCCGGAGACGCGTGTTAACGTCAGATGCCTGATTGACTCGCAATTGGGGATGCGGCCGATTGAGATGCAGCTAGCAGCTAGCAACAGCTAGCAACAGCTAGCAACAGCTAACAGCAGAGCAAGAGAACAAGCCGAATGTTAACCGCAACCAGGAAATTGGTTCTTCAGATTGTGGCAAAAGATGAAAATGAAAATTGACTGCATGCTGAACAGAAAGACAGATGGCTTCCATGGATTCCTACATACTTTACATGCTGAAAGCATTTCACAGATACAGATTATTTTTGAACAATCATTTTGTATACTTTCGAGACTTCAATTAAAATTATATTGAAAAACATTTTTATTCCAATTCTAGAGGGTAAAAGAGGGTACAATAATCAGGGCTACAAGGTCAAATAGAGAATGTAAGTGGCTTGGTTCACAAATCGAACCAAATGCCTTTGGGTAAAATTGGTCTTTCACATCTAAGAATCTAGCGCTTAGGTCAGACCTTGGTTTGTCATATATTTTCAAAATTTTAATTGTTTCTTCTACTGAACATAATACAAGTGCAGGTGCATTAAATTCCATCCAAAATTGGCGTCCAACAAATATGGTTAGATACATACATTCTATGGTTCGGATACAAGTAATTTATGCTCTTAAATATTTTTAGATCTAGAAAAAACCATGAGCTTATCGTTTCTTTCGATATATCCACCAATTTCCATAATAACCTTACTCGTTTGTAGAGCTAAAACCTAGCGCTTATGGCACATCCTAACTGGTTCTAACCGCTGCGCAAGTGTGTTCGACTTTATTATCAGCGAAAAATTAACCCTTCTGGGTCGCCACATTGCTTCGTTGCTGTCCCTGCTCTATGCTGTTGGCGCTATGTTAGTCTCTGATGAAGAGTTCTATAAATTACTTCAATACTTCACAATAAATTTACATGAATATATTTTCCAAAATTATTATTAGATGAATAATACGCGTAGTTCTTTAAGGATCCAGCATTTTAAGCAAATAAAAAGGTCGTATGCAAACGACTGTACAAAACGTAATTGGAATTTCGATTGGAACCTTCTTGATACTGTTGACCCTACGATTTGGTAAAAAAGCGATACTGATTTCTTCTCCCAAGTTTTAAAACTGGGTGTAAAACTATGGGAGAGAGAGAATCGCCCATGGTGAACATTTACAACACAATAAACTCGGCTACTAATTAATTTAATTGGAATTTGTCCCTGCTCGGGTGCCCCTTTATCTAATAAAGTACACATTTTGATTTCATGCCCAACTCTTTTGCTCTGCTCTTTTTCAAGGCCACGTCGCCGTTCCGGCTCCAGCATTGTGGTCATTGATGGCGATGATCTGAAGCCATGTCTGCCGGATGATTACATAAGTGGCCAGCATCATCATTTGCATCATCAGCAGCAACAGCAGCAGCAGCAGCATTATCGCACGCACTCAAGTGATATTAGGGAGATTGACCAGGAAATGCTGACCATGCTGTCGATGAATCAAGATAACGGTAAGCTAACCACCTTGTCGAATAGCTGTTATTAGATGGCGTTTAAATTGCAACGTTTGTTACCCCATACAGGTCCACATCGCGAGATGGCCGTCGACTGTCCCGACACGTTTATAGCACGCAATAAGACGCCACCCAGATATCCGCCTCCCCGTCCGCCGCAGGTAAGCAAAAGCCCAGGGGGCCTACAATAACCACCCACCTGCCACTGCAGTCCACCCAATTTAACAAAAAGCAAAAACCCCAAAAAACCAACCACAAATGCTTGATTAAATCATATGCGCATTGATACACAAACAACAACCCCTAACAACAACTAACAAGAGTCACTAATAACAACCACACGAATACACGCTTGCTTACTGAACCACTCATTTCATGCATTTTCTTTACACCGCACCACATTGTCCACATGTACCATGCACCATGCACCATGCACCATGCACCACGCACCATCCAACAACCACCATACATAGATACACAACACCAACCACACAACAATCACCAGCATCATCAACAACACCACCGACACCATCACCAAGAACACAACTAAAACTAAAAATGATCATGCTAACAAATTGTTAATTGTTGCATATCATTCTTCACATCAACATGAACAACAACAACATCATCATCAACTACAACAACAACTACACTCATCAAAAACAACAACAACAACTACAACTACAACAACAATTGCACTCGATGTGGCCACACAAAATTTGTACAATCAAAAACAACAAACCAAATTGGAACAAATCGAAAACTATGAAAACGATCTACAAACGGAACAGCAACAACAATCGCAGCAACTGGCGGCAACAGCAGCAGCAGCAGCAGCAACAGCAGCAACAGCAGCAACAACAACGGCAATCAATGCAACAACAGCGGCAACAGGCGCACAAATAGCGCAACAACAAATGCCCAGCTACAAGTTGCAGGCAACATTTGGAGGCAACAATCCGGACGCGAGCAACGGCAACAATCACAACAGTACCGGCAACAACATGGCCGACGAGTTGCTGTGTGTGGTGGATGGGATTTATTGCAAGGGCGCCAGCTCGCCATCGTCGAGCACTTTTGACGATATGCTGAGCAAACAGACGCTGGAATCGTTCGAAACAATTGCCTATCGTCACTTGCAGCACCGCCAGCAGCAGCAGCAGCAAACGGCAAGCAATTGCAACAGCAACAACAGCAACAGCAACAGCAACAACAATAGCAACAACAACAGCAGCAGCAGCCCAGCTGCAACGCCCAACAAATTGACGGGAATTAGCAGCAGTAGCAACAGCAACAGCAACTCCCTGAATAGCACACGCAGCAGCAGCAACAGCTCCATGCACACCAGCAGCAACAGTCACAGCAGCAGCAGCGTCAGCAGAAGCAGCCACAGCAGCCACATACCCAGCGCTCCATCAACAACGAGCAGCTTAACGGTTCCGGACGATCTTAGCCTGGCTCCGCCTGGCTATGAGCTGAGTAGTCAGCAGCAGCCGCCGGCAGGCATGTCGCTGCTGCTGCCGGCACCGGCACCGCCACCGCCACCGAAGCATCGCGAGCTGCCCGTCGATGTGCCCGATAGCTTTATTGAGATGGTCAAGGCGCCGCCACGTTATCCGCCGCCCGCACATCTATCCTCGCGTGGCTCACTGCTATCAAATGCTAGCTCCTCAAATGCATCGACCGTCCATACGACGCTCTCCTCGCTGGGCGTGGCCACTGCGCCTGCTGCCGCTGGCTGTGCGTCTGCTGCTGTTCATGTTGCTGGCGATGCCCAGCGCATTGCTGATGAGGTATACCAACAACCACAATAGTATTTCAACTTTGTACTCTGTACCTTGTAATACTTACTATTTCAATTTCCCCGTGGCACCACTCTCTGCCCGCTTGCCCTCTCTCTCTTTCTCTCTTTCTCTCTCTCTTTCTTCCTTTCTCTAAACTCTTTATCTCTCTTTGTATAGCGCTTTCTGTGTGCTCTGTCCTAGTTTAAGTTAGACCACGTAATTTGTCAATCGCAGCGCTGCTGGCAAGAAAATATAACCACCTTGCACGCCTTGCACATGACCGACATTCTTCACGGAACAGTCGATTAGCTCCCCCTTATCCCAGTCTGCTTTGCTCTCTCTCTCCCCCTCTCTCGCACTGTCTCTCCTGCTTTTTCGCGTCAATCGCTGCCATTTTATGACATAAATCAGCAGCAATTTGCATTTCATCAGCATTTCCGCTACCTGCGACCAACTGCGCGCATTTCCCACACACCGCAGCAACATTTGCTCTAGCTTCAGCTGCAGCAGCAGCAGGCAGCAGCAGCGACAACTAGCTACGTTTACCGCTGCAATTTCCGCACATTTTGTCTTTTATACCCATTCACAATTTCCACATAGCGTTTTCATATTCAGAAATCATTTAATTATTTATAGATACATGGACCATGGCAAGAACTTAAATGAACTATTAAATTTTCGATCAATTCTTTTTGCTAATTATACAGTTTTCAATAATGTATTTAGTCTGGTTTCCACTACTCATTTAGGTCCAAACTATTGTGACCGTTGCAGTCGCATGTAACGGACTACGCTATACTCTATTCACAGCGATTACCCTTTAAATATGTCGAAAAGAGTCTCCCAGGATTTAAGGGCCAAGACTGTAATCACTTTAAATCTTTGCATCCAAAGTCTGAATCGATTTTTGTAGTTCTTGTAAGCTTTTGAGCCCAATCAGAAATATAGGCAATTCTACAAATAGTTTCTCAGCCCGATATGTTATATTTGAAGCACAATGCAGCTGTATCGGAAGCTACAGGGAATGCCCTTAGCAAAACAAGCTAAACAAGCGAAGTAAAATAGTAAAATAGGAAAATAACAAAGTCTACGTATGGCTTGAATAATGCCATAGACTCAAATTGTGTAGAGTGCTCTGACTATAAGTAGGTTTCCTCTGCTTTTTCTTGCAGTTTGTTTGTCTTCAGTTCGGGCAAAGCAGATGCAATTGTTAATTATAGGCCGCATCTCATTTGGCCTATGCTATAGTGCTATGGTATCCAGACTTCCAGTCGCCCCCACTCTTGCTGTCTGCCTTTCCCCTTTTATGGCTTTTTGATTTAATTCCTTCCTGGGTGACCCCAACCCCTTGGCAGTTGTTGCCATGTCTCGTCTCAGCTGACGCTGGCCTAATTCCCTCGGTTGCCACGATGTAGCGCTGTCCTCGTTAGCAACATAATCCTAAGCTCTGCCAAGACCACGCCCATAAGCCACCCAACCACCTATGTAGCGTAATTTGCCTGTGTGCGTGTATATGTGTGTGTGTCTGTCTGTGTGTGTGTGTGTATTTTTGCAATATACCAACAACAACAAAACAAACCCTTGAGTAATTTATATAAAAATCGTTGGCGATAAATTTTGCAAGGGGTTGCACAAGGGTCTTCTCCCTAGTTGGGGCTCTCCCTTAGTTGGCTGATAAATAGTTGAGGGCGGGGCAATGGGCGCAACAGAATAAACTATTCGACAATGCAAATGAATCGAATGAATCAAAGGCCAACTGCATGAACATAAACAAATACTCGGGAATATACTCTATAAATAACTAGAATAAGACGATGAAGCAGACGTAAAAGATTGTTTATCTCCACATCCCTAAAAATCGCATCACATGCTTCATAGTTGCTTGCTGTTAACGGAATGGTGGCTATTTTGCTGGAGTGTCGGAGGGGGGTGGGGTGGGAAGGGGCGTTGGTCTCGCTGCAAATTGCAATTTGATAAACAACAAGAACAAGATCACCAACAACAACAGCGACATCAGCAACAGCCGCGGCAACAGCAACAACAAAAATAACAATAACAACGACACACATGCATAACTGAAACACACGCACACACACAAACACACACACAAACGCACACCAACACATGCATGCATGCATATATATAGTTATAGAGAAAAAAAACTGTTAAGATCTCAACTAATCGTTCTCTCAATATATGCTCTATTCCTCCCTTCGCTCTCCTTCTCTCACTTTTTCAACCACACACACACAAACACACACTCACACACACATACGCACACAACCGAATGCAGCTTAATGGCAACGCCAAGCCCTTGCCGCCGCCTCGTGATCATCTGCGTATTGAGAAGGATGGACGCCTCATTAACTGCGCCCCCGCGCCACAGTTGCCAGATCGTCGCATGCCCGGCAATGGCAGCGGCGCTGCCGCCCAACAACAGCAGCAGCAGCAGCAACAACATCAACAACAACAACAACAGCAAATAGCGCAAATTGTGGCGCCGACGCTAGAGCAGCTGGACAGCATAAGAAAATATCAGGTGAGTGACCATTTCCCAGATACTATAGACATACATGCATGTATAAATGGATGCATATGTGTGCATGCCTCACGCAGTTCCGCTGAATTTCGCTTTGCGCCTGCTGTTAGGCTATGAAAAATATATGTGTGTCACAACATGTGACTCTCAAACCCCAATGCGTAGCTGTCAAATTGCGATTTGAGCTCTGACCAACCGAAAATATCGAAAAATATTTGATTTACATCTTATATTTGTGCGCAGAGAGTATTATTCTTGTGTCAAGCCGTCTTTAACGCACTAAACAATATATATGGCAATTTTTTCCAGTACTAAAAGCTGATATCCAAATATTCCCTGTACCCATTGAAAATTAATAAAAGCTGGTATATTAGTTTTGACCACATGCACGTAACAGGCAGAAGGAAGCACATTCGACAATCCTAACCAGGTATATCTGTCGATCTTGGCAACTATAGCAAGCTCGAGACTTGCAGCTTGAAATATATACATTAAGTTATTGAAGAACACATTAATTATATTAATCAGAACTTGGTGTAGGTGTTGTAGGTGTTCGTATAGTACTCACATGTCCCCCGTTTTCCCCACAAAGTATAAAAATGTGTTTTGGTATTTATTTGTTGTCCATTTTTAATGTGTATAAGACCTGAATATGTATCTAAAGATACTCGCTTACTAAACATGTTAAGCCCACAATTCAATGTTACTGACTTTTAACGATGTGTGTATTAGGTATTTCTGATAGCAGATACCGTGCACATATCTACATTTAAACTTCCTCAGAAGCCAAACAAACCAAACAAACCAAAATTGTGAAGATTCTTTGTGTGCACACACACACACGTTGTCAGTGTCTGTTAACTACAGTTGCTGTCAAACTATGCACATAACCTGCAATTCAGAAATTGAACATCGCCACAGTTGAGTGCATGGCGTCATTGACATGCACAGCAAGTGGCAGCAGTTCCGCATGCCGCACCGCGCTGCGCACATTGCAACTCCCTCTACCCTTTGGTTTGTCACCCGCTCAACCGACCAGACCACCCCCCCCCCCCTCCCCCACCAATCCCCCTTCGCATTCTGATATCACCTTTGTTTGGACTACGACAATGGACGACGCCGTTGACGGCAGCTATGGCAACGCTTCCGGTTCGGCGCTCGCTTTCAGGTTTTGCTTCTGCTGCTGATTTTATTGCGGTTCCCCGGCTGGGCATTGACCAATCGGCCCAGTGCTTTTCAAACCGTAAATCGTAAAAGACTTCTTAACTGGCCAGGAAAACTATTACAAATTTTACCGCCCAAAGACAATGCAACTGAAACAGTGGCCTGGTCATTGGAAAGGAAGAAAGGTGCAAAGGGGGGCAAGCGGGAACTGGGGGCCGTCAATAAAAGTTAACAAGTCAGCATTTTTTTCTGGGTGCCGCACTTTGAACTGAATGCGGAAGGGAACAGGAAGGATGTGAAGAGACAACTAAAATAATAAGTATTCAATTGTGTTGGCGTTTCTTTGGCCCCAATCAGCGGAGGAGGGTTAATATGTGCTGGAAAGGTGAGGGGTTAGACATTGCGCATGAGTCGCTGAGCGGAGGAAATTCGCAATAAATAATTATCAAATACTATCAAGTTTTAAGCGAGAAGTGTGCGTGTGCGTGTGTATGTGTGTGTGGGAGGGGGAGTTGTGGTTGGAAGCAAATGGGGGCACACAATCCACTTGCTAAACAACAAATTCCAGAAATCGGGGAAGGAGAAGCGCCTAATGTGCAATTAATTAAGAAGCTAAGCAAACATTTGAAGAGTCACCCAAGCGAACAGGTCAAACTGTACTGCTAAGGGCCATAAAGAAGTAAGCAATTGAAATAGAGAGAGAGCGAGTGAGAAAGAGAGAGAGAGAGAGCGAGGGAATCACATGTATTACATATATATATGTCTGATTTATGGTCGAAATTAACTATTTTGACAGCTTTGAGCTGATCCTACAAGCCCATTTTCCAGTCGTAATCTAGGACTATATATCACAATCAACTCGAAGTGGGACAAATAAGCTTGAATGGGATAAAATAATCGCTTGAATGGGATAAAATAATCGCTTGATGGTTAAATATTCATAACCATTTGGTAATTAACAAAGAGGTTACTTCGAAAACTCCTTGGAAGGGAAAATAATGGATTCTTTCAGTTCATATGTCGCACTTTTTAATTGATTTATTTAACTAATTGGAACTGGTAATAAGCCAGAAAAGCACGCTCGGAGCACTTTCAGTTCAGTTCCTTTGGGAATTACAAAAAGAACAAGAAAAGCGAGCGACGTCTGGCAATATGCTCGACTGGATTCTGAGAATAGATCAGCATATAACCCTCATAGAAGTAATAGTACAACAGGGTCAGCATCAGGGCCATCACGACGTTGTTTGTGTATAGCTCACGGACTATCTCGGGGCTCCGGGGATACTTCTTGAGGTGTTGTTGAACAATGTACATCAGGATGCCCAAGGTGATTAAAAATAGAATCAAAAAGATGTATATCTTGCAAAGCAACTTCCACAGCTTTCCAAGTATAGCAGAAACGACTACGATCAATAGGGATCCGTAGCCGCCCAATGTCGCCAGAATCGGCTTCAATTTGCTGCAGTTCATGATGAAAATTAAAATTCAAAACCTTTTAATACAATTTGAACGCGTCTCCGTCCAGTATTCCCTGGGACTTTTAGCGCTTGGCATACTAATAATAACTGGCCCGTCCAAGCATTTTCGAAACCAAATTTAAACTTTTCAAACAGCTTCAGCAGGTGAGCTGATGTCTAGAGAGGCAAATACAAGTCTTCCGGTAGATATCGCAGCCCACTTGAGCTAGGAGATAGAGTCGAGAGTGACGCATGGAACGCATCAGCAGAAGTGTCCCACTGGAAGAAACATTTACAATTAGCTAATGCGAAAGTGCGCGACTGGAAGATATCTAGCTTCGCTTCGAAGATATCTTCTTTTGTCTGCACATACAGTTGCACATTGCCCTTATACCCTGGTGATTACGAGGGATGTTGGAGATTCTGTAAAGGGTATCCCTTAGCCACGCTCTCCCGACTAAAAGATCCTAGCCAGATGCAACCGTTTTTGTTTTACCTGGCAAACGGAAGTGAGTAGCAATCAAGCAATGTGGCTTTCCGTTAATTGTAGGGTATATTTGTGTCAGTACACATTGACCCATTGTTAACTGTAAAACATTTGCTTATTGCCGCTTTGGGGTTGTTGTTTTCAACTGTTGTTGTTGTTTTTGTTTTCGTTGCTGTCAAATACGCTTTGGCTTGTGCTTTGCGGCATTTTCGCCCCAAGTACGCAAATTAGTTAAACAATTTATTTATATATGTATATATACATATATAAATTTTTTGCTTTTTTTTTATACGACTGTTGGCAACGATGACAGCGTGTGTTTCTGTGTGTGTTAGTGGTAGGAGCATTAACGCACACACACTCACACACTCACACACACACGCACACAGAGGCACACACATAAGCAGCAAAAGTCATCGCATTTTGTTTCACACATTGCGAGGTCTCTTGTTGTTGTTGCTGCTTGTGTTGGGCCAGCGACGACAACAGCAACGGCTGGAAACTTGGCTCACACTCACACACACACTTAAAATCCCACTCGAAACTCACACACACAGACACAGACCTTCGCTCACAATACAATTACTCATGCGCTCACCGCGCACTGGTTGGTCAGAGGGAGGGGTCGGCGCAGCGGTTGCGAAAGGGGTATGAGGGGGGGAGGGGCCGCTTTACCGCTCATTTGTTATGATTTTTCAGTTGGCATTTTTAGTTGTTTTTCTACGCGTTCTGCGATCGGCCGCATTTTCAGCTTCTGCTCTTCGGGCAAACGTGCGTGTTTATAGACAAGTGTGTGCGCGTGTTTGTGTGTGTGTGTGTGTGTGTGTGGGGGGGGGGGGGTGATAAGATCTATGAACTACGAGTATATTGGATATATATGTAGTTGCATATAATGACGGTCATATAATAAATAAGTTTTTTTATGTAATTATTTGGTTTTTTTTTGTTGTGCTTGTGTGTGTGTGTGGGTGCGGGTGTGGGTGTGTGTAATTTCTTAAATAATAGTTGTTGCACGGTAAGCCCCCACTCCCTCCACCCACAACCAACGCTGCGCTTGCGAGGATTGTGAGCAGCGCAGTTTGAGAGCCACTGCAGTATGAGAGCCCGCTACTATGCTGGCTATTTAGGCGCGGCCAGCAGGCAGGCAGCAATTGTGCTGAAAACACGTCGCAAAAAAAAACAAACAAACAGTGGAAATAATATTACAAAAAACGTAAAAACAACATTCACAATGTCATTTATGGATTTATGGGCAATGGGCGTACGGCCTACATGCAGCAGCAACAGCAGCTGCCTCTAAATGAGCTAACTCAACAATTGAAACAACTGCAGCAACAATAAGTGTTGCCTAAACGAGCAGCAGCAACATGCAAAGGAACACGGCAACACTGCACGCCAACGCGAACCCTGTACGGCAAGGGCTACTCCCAAAAGGACACGGCAACACTGTGCACCAGTGTGGCCAGGTGCTTGTGTGAATAGTTGATTCTGTTTCCCATACAGATGCAAGACACTGCGTCAAGAATGCGTCGTCTTTCGCCTTTGTCGCTGACTCACGACGCGCAATTTGCATTGAAAGTATGGAGAGGAAAAAATAATAATTATCAAAGTAAACAGTAAAACGTAAACGGTTTTTTTTGTCATATTTGATTTTGGTTTCAATTTTGTTTGCGTCGTTTTTTTTTTGTGTTTTGTTTTTTGTTGTATTTTGTGAACGTCGACATAAAAATGCAGCAACAGCAGCGCCGGCGACGTCAGCGTCTCATTTGCAACGCGACGCACGTAAAGGGCTACAGCTACATCAGTTGAATGAAAACAAAACAAAAATATGTAAATAAATAAATTAATGCATAAAAGTAAAAACTTTTTGTACTAGTTGTAAATCGCACGAGCGTTGCGAGTGCTTGTTGAATGGAAAGTCTATGAAATTATTGCCGCTTGCTGCTGCCGGGATCGCTGCTGTTGCGTGTGTGTGTGTTGGCCGGACCACAGAATGCAGAACTATTGCCATTATTGTTGTTGCTGCTCGCAGCTCGCAGCAGCTTTCGCTTTTTTATTTCGACTTGCCACTCGCAGTGTCATAAAATCAAAATAAAAATAAAAAACAAGAAAGAAAGAAGAAAAAACTGTCCGCCGTAGTTTCATTGCAGCAGCAACAGCAGCAAAAGCTGAATTTAAATGCGCACTAAGCTGCATTTTCGAGCTAAACAAACGCAGAGGAGCCGAACGGAGCCAAAGTTTGTTCATATTCAAATTTATGCGCTGCAGCTGTCAATGAGGGGCGTGGCCATTTGCATAGTTGCTCTCGACAAAGCGCGTGGAGGGTTGTGTGGGCTGGGGCGTGGCCAGCGATCGAAGCAGTGTAAAAATGTATAAAATTCAGCATAGCGATGCAGCGACAACAACAATAAACAATGTTAAACTTCAATTGACAATCGAATAAAAAAAAAACAAAAAGCAAATATTATCGACCACAATCAAATCCCATAACATGGTCTTGTCGACATTGCACATAAGAATGGACAACGATCTTGGTGGCGAACAGCGACAGCAACAGCCACAGCGTGTGTCAGCTGAGGCAACAGGAGCAGCAACAACAGCAGCACCAACAACACCTAATAGGTTGAATGTGCTATGCAACAACAATAACAATCAGATTGTGAACAACAACAACAGCAAAGAACAGCAGCAGCAAATGCTGTTAGAAAGGGAAAACGACAAGCAATGCTTCAATTTGAACAGCAACAACAACAACAACAGCAACAACAACAACAACAGCAACAACAACAACAACATTAACAAATATTGGGATATGAACGGCAATGCGAATATAACAGCAACAATCGAGCAACCACAACAACATCAGGGATCATCCGCCAGCAGCACGCCGTACCGCAACGCCTCCGCGTTGCGTCGGGGCACACAAATTCAGCGCTCTTCGATGCGTTTGCGACAACAACAGGCAAGTGTGGCAGGCAAGGCAACCGCCCCAGCAGCAGCAGCAGCAGAAATTGCAACTGCAACAGCAGCAACCAAAATAATATTTGGAAACCCCGACTCGGGCAATTGCTGCTGCTGTTGGTTTTCCCTTTAAATGGCAGCAACCTTCAGCTGCTATCGCCAACTGGCTTTATCTACATATATGCTAGCTGCAAACGGCAACCAGTTAACAGCAAACTAGGCTAACTGGCTGCCGCAGTTGCTCGACGACAGTAAGAGCCACAGCAATAACAACAACAGCTTTCCCAGCGATAGCCTACGAATTCTTTGGCAAGCCGACGCCGACACTTTGATACTCTACTCATTGAATCAATCGGCATCTTACTTATTAGATTTTTTATTTGGTTAATTGGAGCTGCTCTTAATCAAACAATCAAACAATTTTGCTACTTTGCAACATTTTCAATAGTGGTGGTCCCTCTAAGTAAAGTTGTCTTTTTACTATTAATTGCAAAGCCTTCAAATTTTATATCAAGTTAAAAATCTCGTTTACTTGGTTTGATTTGATTTTTTCATTTTATTCTCTTTTCAGTTTTGTAAATCTCTTAAATTGATTAAATAATTAATGAATTTTTTAAAATTTGTATTTTTTTTTATTTGAGTTTCTTTATTTCTAAACCAAGCGTTCCAATTCCACGCGACTTGAACAAATTATTAAACAATTGCTAAGCCTTTAAGCTTTAACTATACAGTTTATTGTTTTCCGTTTTGGCTGCAACTGGAAAGAACCAGACGACATACATACATGTATCTTTAAATGTTAAACTGTTTTCCAATGTTTCAATTCTGTTTGTTTCAAACTCATGTGGCAGTGTCGCAAAGACTGCGACAAAGTTGAAGCAGCCGTTTGGCTCAACAAGAATAACAATAAATACAAAAGCAAAAAGTAGGCATGTTAATAAATTTGTAATTTTTGTTTTACGCGCTTTTGCAATATTTATTTTGTGCCCGACGACGCGCAGGTTGCTTCATGATGTTGATGACGATGATGTCATCGTCTATACATCCACAGCAACAACAACAACAGCAACAACCAGAAGAAGAAACAAGTAGAATGATACTTTAAGTTGTTATTTTTGTTTTTGTTGTGGTTATTGTTATATTTACAATCGCTACAGCTGAGTCGCTGTTGTTGTTGTTGTTGTAGCTTGCTGATTGATGAGGCGCAAGTTTAGTAGGATTTACATACATATGTATGTATGTATGTACATACGTCTGTTCGAAGCGTATTGCGGGAGATCATAAGTGGAATCAAATAAACCCTAAGCCAGTTTCAGTTTAAATTGAATATAAATGAATTGAAATAGAAACTGAATTGTGAACGTACATATTTATGTACGTATGCACATATGTGTGTGTGTATATATGTATGTATGTGTGCATGTATGTGGTTGAGTTCTAGCTTGCCAATGTCAATTATAGTTGTTTGTTCTTCTTCTGGAAATTGTTGTCTGGCAACCAGCTTCAGTCTATTTATCTGCTGCCATTTGAGTTCCTGCTTCTATGTATGTTAAACGCATCGCTATTTTGTGTAGCTGTTGTTGTTGTTGTCGACTTTCCAGTTTCATTTTATTCGTTGTTAGTTTTTTACTCACGCTACGAGCAGACTAAATTCCCCCAATACCCCCCCCCCCCCCCCGCTGTTCCTCAACATATGCTGTCCGTATATTTTTTTGTTTTTGTCGCTTCTTTCTCGACTCTTTTATTCTTTTTCGTTCGCGTCTGCATTCACATTATGCAAGTTTGGCAAATTTTCTTCTCTTGTCTCTGTTCACAATGTAAAAAAGAGTATGCTGGTTTAGTGGAATGTCCGTCCGTCTATTGGCAGATTAAGTGTTAAAAGTTATGCTAAACTGGGCATGCCAAATCGCGAAAATTTTTATCGTCTGCAGTCTATTGATGAGCTCCTTTAAAGATCGATGCATGAATATCTTACCTGGTATATCGGTATCAATCGCTATCTCGTCAGCTGTTATCGAACTGTCTTGAGTATCACGCCGTCGGTTAAGCCCGACTGCAACTTCTTACTTGTTTTGCGTGGCTTTTGTTTTCGTTTCTTCTCTTTTTTTTTGTATTTTGTATTTGCAGCGCCTCTCTGTTGTTATTCAATTAAGTTTTTCTTTTTCATTTTTTCACCGAACACCCCCGAGAATAAATGTGTTGGAAAGGCGGCGGCAAGGTCCCAGCTGTGGTTGGGCAGCTTTGTTATCTTTCTTGGTCAAGTTTAGAGCGGAACCGAAAACGCAACTTTGACACGCCGCTGCTTGAAATAACTTATCTTATTCATACAAACATATATGTATGTATGTATGTATATGTACATATGTATATTGTACAGTTCTTCTGTTAGTACTTATAAGAATACCAAGCGATTAATCGATATTGGGAATTGTCTTCTTCATTTCCATATGTTCAGTTAGTATACACAAACATATGTATGTATGTACATACATACACATGTATGTATTTTTGGCTTTCAACCTTTTCAAATCCACGCTTATCCCAATTATACAAACATATTCATATAAATGATTCAGTACAACATATTTTATGCTTTATTGGCCACACGTTCACCCGTTGAACCTTTTCTATATACATATGTACATATGTATGTAAACTACTGAATATGAAATACAGTCAAAACTCTTTTTAAGTATTAAACATTTCTTAGTTAAATATATGAGTCATGCATATACATACTAGTGTGTATTCCCCGGCCTTGCGCGGCCAAAACTTGGTACTTTAAGTTCTAGGTATCACACCTCTACTCAATTCTCGTCCTTAAACAATTTAAATCTACCCCATAAAAGCTTACATCCCACGCCTCAAATTAAATTTGACATTCTATATACATATTTGGAAACAAGCTTGAAGGATCGACAAAAATCAACTTAATTCTTGTACACTAAAAAATAGAGCTTGAATCCGAAAAATACGCAAAAAACCTTTGAACCGTATTTCGCATCCAATCAGAGTGGATATTGCGAAAATTGTTAAATTAAACAAATATGTTTGAGTTTGAGGCAGATCTTACTTCCACAATTGCAAGTGGAACTTCCCATACCTTATTAAATATGTATACATACATACATACATATATCGATTTATATTCTCTGTTCACTAAATATAAAAGAGTATATTAGGTTAGTGCAATGTTTAGTCACCGTTTGAGAGCCATTGGTTTGCGGTTACAGAGTTAAAGTCTGCCAATCAATAATGAAGACTCAGTTCGACTGATTATAGCTGTGCATAGAGTATTGCGCGGTCGGTGGGTATTAGTTAAGGGTTTTAGGCTGATGTTCGACGGTTCAGCCAGCCATGTGCCTGGCTTTTTGCCACTTTGGTGCGCATTTGGTAGACACTGTTTGCCAAGCGTTAGCCAACCCACTGACCACTGACCCAATCCAGCCCGAGCCAAGCACTTGCGAGGTTTCTCTAAGCCTTCCCACTGCGCAACAACCCGCTACGCCCCTCATTAGCTCGCTGGTCAAAGCAGGTTTTGCCATTGTGCTTGTTGCATGCCCCGCTTCAGGGATTTGTTGCATGCCACGCATAACTCTCTCATAAGCTTTCTTCTAGGAAAGGCATCAGCTTGTGGTAGATTGCAGGAATGCAATGCATATACCACATAATTGAAAACATCCATAGAACAGTTCTAGTCAATGTCCCTGGTGCAGGGTATGCATTTAATCGTGGCATGCATTCATTAGCTCTGTTACTCTCTGTCCACCTGCTAATTAAATTAGCAGAATGGACGCAAATGCGGATTAAGTACGCCCGCTGAAGCCTCAAATTTACACCTTCCGCAACTAACCGCTTTCTCTCTCTGTCTTTGTCTTTTTGCAATTGCAGGAGCAACTGCGACGTCGACGCGAGGAGGAGGAGCGCATCGCCCAGCAGAATGAGTTTCTACGCAACAGTTTGCGCGGCTCGCGCAAACTCAAGGCGCTCCAGGATACGGCAAACGCCACACCCACAGCTGGCAAGGCGCTGGCACAGCAACAGCAAACAGCAGCCACGGCGGCAACAATTGCCGGGGTTGAAAACGAGGCCTATCTGCCGGATGAGGATGTCACGCCAACGGAACACATTGATGGTAAGTGCAAGGAGAGGGCATAAAAAGTCAAGTTGACATGCACTTGTCTAGGGTTATCTTGTTGTCAATGGAAAGTTAAGCCACATTCAAAGAATCGAGCCAGAACAAACGGAAGATATTGTATTTTGGTATTCCAAAGTGCCAAAGAGCTTACTAAAATAAATCATATTTAGATTGGTTCACGGCCCGCATCATTGCCTTTTGATTCAGTTAGTGAACCTGGTTTTCCACAGACATAAACCTAGCTCCGAAGGAGTAATTGAAATTTCGATTGCGTTTTGCCTAAATCTAAATAGTGTTAATAAGTTCGGTTCAAACTAAATTTACGAAATTGAGGACGAACTCAATAAAAAAAGGCTTAGGGTTTAATGAATAGTTATAGTGCAACTGCGAACACAAGTAAATCCAATACGGAATTCAATTTTCGTTTGGAATTGAGTGCGCAGATTGGCCTTGGATTTAGTAAAATACATCAGACTGTTAAGTTAGGAATATGTATACAACTTTTTGTGTTGATTGCCTGAAGGACTGACCCGCTGATTGGGGATCAACGCACAGCCTGAACCGAGTCGCTGCTTCGGAATGAAATGTTGATCGATTAAAGAACTAGTAGATTATAAACTCAACTCTCTTATAGCATACACATACAGAATAGTTCACTTTTTGAACACCTCCCGAATTATAATATCAGGATTTAGGAAGTAGCTTAGACCAACCCACTTGACAGATAGACACTAGTAGATCCTCGACCCACAATAATAATGAAATTAATGAAAAAATGTCAAAGGGAAGGGCTCTGCTACCGAGACAGTCTATTGTGCTTGGTGGTCCTGGGGCTTAGTGGCCAGAGTGGCTCCTACCTACCAGATAAAGAAGCCCTGATCTGAGCTGGGAGAACAAACTCTCTGCCCAGATGCTCACTCCATCCCCAAGAAAACCCCAATCCATTGAAGTATTACATTGACTCAAGGATTGCAGCCACTCCCAGCTCAAGAGTCCAACTAAGGATGTGCATCCAGCTAATTCCAAATATTTCTTACAGGTTACGGTGAGCTAATCGCGGCGTTAACACGTCTCCAGGGCCAATTGGCGAAGAGCGGGCTTAGCACGCTAGCGGGCCGTGTCTCGGCAGCGCACAACGTCCTGGCCAGCGCCAGTGTGGCGCATGTGCTTGCCGCCAGGAGTGCCGTGCTGCAGCGCAGGCGACCGCGAGTAGCGGGCCCGCTGCACGTTAGCGCGCTGGGTCTGCAGAAGGAGATCGTAGAGCTGCTGACGCAGTCGAACACAGCGGTGGCCATTGAGCTGGGCAACCTATTAACCAGCCACGAGATGGAGGGCCTGCTGCTGGCGCACGATCGCATTGCCAGCCACACGGATGCATCGCCCTCGCCGACGGGCACACTGCCGACGCCTTCGCATACGCCAACGGTCACAACCACCACGCTCAGCGGTCACAGCAGTCCCGTGCCGGCGGCAAAGGTGTCAGCAAGCAGCAGAAGCATGGCGGTGCTGCCGCCAGTGGTGCCAGCCTCATCGGTGGCGCAGCGTGGAGCAATGCCGCTGCCTGTGGCGGTGGCGGTGCGCGGTGAGTCGCCGCCGGGCATGAGCGCATGCTTTGGGACACTGAACGATCAGAACGACAACATACGGATCATACAGATCGAAAAGTCGACGGAGCCGCTGGGAGCGACGGTGCGCAACGAGGGTGAGGCCGTGGTCATCGGGCGCATTGTGCGTGGCGGTGCCGCTGAGAAGTCTGGACTGCTACATGAGGGCGACGAGATTCTGGAGGTGAACGGCCAGGAGCTGCGTGGCAAAACGGTGAACGAGGTGTGCGCCCTGCTGGGTGCCATGCAGGGCACCCTCACGTTTTTGATTGTGCCTGCCGGCAGTCCGCCGCCGGGCGGCGGCCTTTGCAGCGGTCTGGGCATGCATCATGTGGGTGGCATGGCGCATCGGGATACGGCCGTGCTGCATGTGCGTGCCCACTTCGATTACGATCCGGAGGATGATCTGTACATACCATGCCGGGAGCTGGGAATAAGCTTCCAAAAGGGTGATGTGCTGCACGTGATCTCCCGCGAGGACCCCAACTGGTGGCAGGCGTATCGTGAGGGCGAAGAGGATCAAACGCTAGCCGGCCTCATTCCTAGTCAGTCCTTCCAGCATCAGCGCGAGACCATGAAACTAGCAATTGCCGAGGAGGCGGGTCTGGCTCGCTCCCGTGGCAAAGAGGGTGCCACTAGCAAGGGCGCTACGCTCCTCTGTGCGCGCAAGGGTCGCAAGAAGAAGAAGAAGGCTAGCTCCGAAGCGGGGTAAGATATGGTAGCACCTTGAGTCAACCGAGATTATATTCTACTCCCTTTGCAGTTATCCGCTGTATGCGACAACGGCGCCAGACGAAACGGATCCCGAGGAGATACTCACCTACGAGGAGGTGGCGCTCTACTATCCTCGCGCCACCCACAAGCGCCCCATTGTCCTCATCGGCCCACCCAACATTGGCCGACATGAGCTGCGCCAGCGGTTGATGGCCGACTCCGAGCGTTTCTCAGCGGCAGTGCCACGTAAGTACAGTTCCGCGACACTCTGCCCCTGTTCTCGTTTGTTCTCTTTCTTTCTCTCTCTCTCTCTCGCTGTCTCTCTGTCTGTCTATTATACTTTCTCTCTCTCGCAGTTTTCTACTTGCTTGAGGAGAAGCTCAAACCAGCAGCCAAGGGTAAAGCAGTCGCAACCGATTCCCAGCGCATTGCTAGCATTACCCTTACACTGAGTAAAGTCCATCAGCTGCATGTAAAGCAACAATCCTGCGAGAAGTGATGATTCCCAGTTGGGAAGAGATCAATTCAATAAATATCCAATGCTTATGATGCGTCTTTTCTCAGTGTTGGCTTCTTTCACTCCTCCCCCAATCCCACTGTGATCCAATAGATTCACCAACTCATCCATTGCTCCTTTGATTCTCCTCTCTTCCAATTATGCAGATACATCACGGGCCAGGCGCGAGGGTGAGGTGCCCGGCGTGGACTATCACTTCATAACGCGCCAGGCATTCGAGGCGGATATTCTGGCGCGTCGCTTTGTCGAGCACGGCGAGTATGAGAAAGCCTACTACGGTAAGTTTGCCACGCCCAAAAGAGGCAGCCATACTGGGACGCAATGGGATTGTTTTCTTATTTTCTCTATGTTTCTTTGCAGGAACTTCACTTGAGGCCATTCGCACAGTCGTCGCCAGTGGTAAGATTTGTGTGCTGAATCTGCATCCGCAGAGCTTGAAACTGTTACGCGCCTCCGACCTCAAGCCCTATGTGGTGCTAGTGGCGCCGCCAAGCCTTGATAAACTGCGGCAGAAGAAGCTGCGCAATGGCGAACCGTTTAAGGTACGTTATCGAAATCGAAATCGTCATGGTTATCGTTATCGTTATAGTAACTGACCATTGACCATTGTTGTCTGATCAATCAATCTTAATGCATTCAGCAGAGACTGCATTCGCTTTTCAAAATGGTAATTGGTAATTCCGATATGCAATGTACATATACTCGTGTAGATCTGCGTAAGAAAAAGTTCGCCAAAATCGATATATCCAATTTGTAACTTTTGTTTTAAATGATCTTTTTCCAAGATCAAACCCAAAATATTCTCGCACACTTCGCGTCTCAAATGTTTTTGTCCTACAACACATTTATACTGATAATACATCAGCTATTCTGTCGAGTCGCTTATCGTTATCGTTATTTAAAATCATTGTTATTATTGTAAGACCCATTCGATAAATCGATTTCTTCTTTTTTTCTTTTTATGCACAGGAAGAGGAACTTAAGGACATCATCGCAACCGCGCGGGACATGGAGGCGCGCTGGGGTCATCTGTTCGACATGATCATCATCAACAATGATACGGAGCGCGCTTACCACCAACTGCTGGCGGAGATCAATTCGCTGGAGCGCGAGCCGCAATGGGTGCCGGCCCAGTGGGTGCACAACAATCGTGACGAATCATAATAGCCTCGGCACCGGCCGCAGCGCATCACCATCTCCATCTCCTGCCCCGCCTCCAGCCAATTACCAATTACCGATGATGAGCCAGCGCCCGCTTTGTAAATACGTTTCAACTCAACCATTTGGAGATGGAGCAGCTGCTGTCACCGGATCGGGACACAGGGCATCCTTCCGCAATTTGTATAATTGAACATATATGTGTACTTGCATATGTAATTTGCCTATTTACTTACTTTTTAACTCGTACTTAACCCGTTCCCATATACTCGTATTATTTATGAATGTATCTATCTATGTAACTTGTTTGTTTCAAATGCATTTTAAACATGGACAGACGTTTCCTAATATTTCAAGCATTCCATTTTTTTTTTTAATTTCCTTTTGCTTAAGTATGTTCACAAAAATTGTAAGTTAACTATTAAACTGATTTTTTTTTATTATATTTTTTTTTTCAAATGTTTATGATTATTTGATAAGAACTTGTTGAGCACTTCCTTAATTTCAAGGGCAAATTGAAATTTGAAAAAAAAACGAGTTTCAGTTTTTGTAACGCTGGCCAGTCTGTACTCTAAATCGCAATCGATATCGAGATCGAAAACCAACTCCAACTCGGAACACCCATACTTTAACAGATCAAATATAATTCGTTAAGAAAAAGCGAATGTTGAAACAAAATAGAGTAAAGAGTTTATGAAGAAAAATAGAGAGAGAGAGAGAGAGAGAGAGAGAAGAGATAGAGAGCAGCCAATGGAAGAGCAAGGGCAGAAGCAAGCGAATGTTACAATTACGTAATCTATTTACTTTATATAAATATATACATAAACTTTACATATAAATATACACATAAATTATATGCAGTAATACGATTAATTTTTAATAACAAGCTACGTGAGAGCAGCAAAAGCAGGAAGAGTTGTAAACAAAAGTAAAAGGATGAAAGAGACAACAGAATCAGTACGTCATTGCCAAATAAAACAAAAGAAAGAAATACGAAAATACGAGTATCCAAAACAAAAACAAAAACAAAAAAACACCCAAAATACAATAAAAAAAGAAAATAAGCAACATTCCGCCAGCAAGCAAATAAATAGTATGCAATACAATATGAAATAGAGTAGCCATCTTAAATAGGCACTGTAAAAACTTAAAAATAAAAATGGAAATGAAAAAAAAACAATAAACTATTGAACTATTGAAAACTAGGCATTAGGCTAAGAGAAACACAAAATGGAAGAAGCAGACAACGCGTAGCTGTTTAAAAAAAAGATATAAATGTTGTAATTAATTATTTAAAACGCGATTAGTAAATGGCAAAAATGAGAACGATAACAGAGAGGAAAACTCAAGAGGAAAACTAAAAGTCTAAAACGAAATAGTTGCAAATTTTAGACAAGAATATTTAATATATAAACATTTATAAAAATTTGTTGAAAGTGCAACAATTTTATTAAGGAAATGCTACGAACGGCGTCAAGTAAATTAGAAAACTATGTTACACAATGTTGAAAACTTGAAAGATTCTAAAACACGGCAAACAAAAAATACAAAAAAACAAATACAAAAATATATTTAAAATAATTTTTTTTTTGAGTAGTCAGCAAGATATAAAAATGTGTGTGCAGTAAATTTGTTTAAGTTTTTATTTATACGTATTAAAACAAAAATCAAATAAATATGAAAACTAATTTATAAACCTATAAATTTAGTACATTGTATGTATGCATGTGTGCGGTGTAAGAGGTTGATTAACAACACAAACCAGCAGAATGCGATGAAATTAGAAGGAACAAATTCAATAAGAAATAGACACGGCGTACCAGCATTGAAGGATATAACAAATAAATAAATAAAAAGCAGCAAACAAATACAAAAACAAAAAGTCTGCAATATTTAAATTTCAGTTCATTAGGCAAAATTCAAAACAACGGTGCTGCCAGAAGGTGGCTTAGACGAAAGGGTGGCAATACCACTTTACAGAATACTCCCCTGTTAACAGAATTGCATAAGCAGTGTGGCCAGCTTGCGTAACAGCGCATTGCGAGTTAACATATGCGTTAGCTGCACAGTGTTTCATTTAATTTCTTCTCTTTCATTCCTTTTCTCTCTCATTCTATTTCGAATGAGCAAACTGTGCGGACGCATTTAGCTCGGTTAGTGCGGTACCTTTGACTCCTATTTGTTTTATTTTTTTTTAGTATTTTTGTTGTTTGTGTGATTTTAAACTGCATTTCATTTTGCCTGCGGTTGTGAGTGCCTGACAGTTTTTATGGCCAACTAATAATCTTATCGTAAGCATGAGTCGAAGCACAAGTTATTACTAAGTGTCATCGTCACGTTAAAATTGGCCTTAACATTGAAATAGCACCGTTTGCACCAGCAAGTAATAACAAACCGAGCCAAAAGCAAAGAAACAAACGCATTTTCCCCCCGCCCCACTTTCCCGCGGAGTGACAGAGAGAATGCCTGTAAAATCGGTATCGCGCCAGCAGAGCCAAACGCCCGCCCAGCAGCTGCAGCAGCAGCACCAACGGGATGTTGAAAATGGCCTTTATCCAAATATACCGCCCGAGCGACGATCACCAACGCGTCCAGTGCGGCCGCCAACGCTGCGTCAGGACACCATTGACATGGAGGAGATACCACTTAATCAGTCCAATTCAGTGCAGGAGCCAGAGGATCGTCGAAAAATGCGCGAAATTTTCGACAAGGTAAGCCAAATGTCACTCTTTCTCTTTCCGCTCTCTGGCTCTGCCGGTGTCGCTGCGAGCGTATGCATGAATGAATATTCTTGTTTTATCTGAAACGCCCGTCTTTGCGCGTCCCCTTGCTCTTGGTGAAAGTTCAACTGAGTTGCGCGTGTCAAACAGTTGTGAATCATCAACGCCGTCATTCGTTACCCCTCAACCGACTGATGGCTCGCCCTACGTGCGGCAGTCATCAAACTGCGGTTTTTCTTTTGCATTGCTCACTCTCTCACGCTCTATTTTTATGCATGCTCCCCAAACTGTCGCTGCCGTTGCCGCTGCGGCTGCGCGTTATTTGCAGATTCCGTTGTTGAAATGAGCGGGCTTATCAATGTCACGTCTACATCTCCAAACACAACATTCACTCAATTTCACACTTTTGCATATTTCACCGTTAACATTTTTTGTGTGCCTTTCTCAGTTTGTTTTTGCTTAACATTGCAACAATAACAACAAGCTGACTGAGGGGAATACGAATGTCTTATCGAGTAAAAAAATTGTAGAGAGAAACAACCGGTTATATGTACATGCATACATATGCACATACAAATGTGGCTATGTACATGTGTGTATGAATTTAATTGTGGGCATTTCTGTCGTCGTTGTTGCTGCTCAGTATTGTTCTTGGCTGTCAAAAAGTTGATTTGGTCCTAGTCACTCGCACGAAATTGTTATTGCCGTTTTAATTTTTAGCATTTAGCATTGTTTTCTATTCATTATCAAGTGGCCCGCTCACCTTCTCTCAATCCCTTGAATGTTTTTCGTTTTTTATTTTGTTTCTTTGTGGTGTTTCTGCTGAACAGCATTCCATTCTATTAGTTGGATTCTAGTCAAACTGCCCCTTTCCTCGACCCCTCTCTTTCGCTCGCTCGCTCTCTCTCTTTTCCCCCTTCATTGTCTTAAGCTCGCCGGCCCCTTTCGTTCATTGGCCCCTGGCAACTGAGAGAACAACACAACATTTGCGTTGATTATTCTTCTGCTACTTCTGTAAGTTTTCTTTTGCTGGGCAGTTCTAGCTCGTGCTTAACGTCTATTTATTAATATCTGGTATATCTGGTATGGGGTTAGCTGATAATTATCAGCACGGTCTAGATTCCGTGTTTTCTCAAGTTCGCTTTAAGCATTTGAGCAGTAGGCAAGAAGCCAAAGCAATATCAAAATATTGCTTCGCAATCTTATCAATTTTGCTCGACCAGAGGCTTTTAAAGTGGCGCGTAACCCCAAACGCCAAACATTTCATGGCCTTACACACATACATGCATACATACAAACATACACACACATAATATTTATATGCACACATACAGGACTGACTGTACAACATCTGCCCGATTGCAATTTGTGACTCAGTGACTTATTTTTGTAATTTACTCTTCTCTAATACACCCCCCCCCCCCCTTGTCTCCTACTCTAATGTCCACACCCAATCAACAATCACAACAGTTTATGGCTTGTGCTTGCTTTGTTTCCATAGCTGAGACACATCGACAAATGTGCAATGCAGATGGCTAGATACATGCACCCATATCTCCACCTGTTGCTTATGGTCTGCACTTAGTAACGCAAACAAACATACATGTGTATATGTGTATGTATTTATTCATTTGGTACATAAATACTACTCAGAGGTTTACGGTAAAAATTAAACAGCTTATAAGAGACGCAAGCCTTAATGTTTGGGAAAATTTTGATTTTCAAGATTTGCCCGCCCTCTACATCCACATAGAAGGGAGTACTCTTTTCTCTTCTTTTTTTATCGCCAATTGATGTCAGAGAAACGTTTTGAGCAAGTGCTTGTGATTGCTTTAGCCTCGATTCGAATGCAGTTTTGACGGATTTGTCAAATACTCGAATGCATTCGATCCGATTTGGGCATTTTATCAGCTGCCTGGCCTGGCCATTTGTGGCCAGTGTGGCGACTAGTTTTGGCTACATTTGGAGTGGTTTGTTGCATCAGTTGGATGTGGCATGCGCAATGCGGCACTTACGCACTTTAAGCCTAACATTGTATGGCAAACAGGTGTTATAGTCTAAGCTTCAGACAGTCTGAAGCGACCTTTATTTAAAATTTGGGATATTGCAAATGGAAAACGGCTTTCGAAAACGATATCGAAACGTAGCTATTGTTTGCATGCGTTGGCTACAAGTCAGTCTTAATCTTCTTGGACGTCGATGAAATGATCCTCCTCACTGTTGTCGTTGGGCACATCAAAGAAGATCTCCTTGGCGTTCTTTTTGCCCCGGTCGCTTATTTTCAGCCACTGGGTCTCCTCCTCTGCGGTCGGCTGCAGCGCATCATGAAAATTGTCCAGCGGCTGCTTCCTTCTTGATCTTCTGTTGATATCGTTGAGCGGCTGCTTGCTGCGGCGCCGCTGTTGCTCCTTACGTATCTCTCGGTCTCGCAACGCCGGTGGGCTCTGGGTCACCTGGCTGGGCAAGAGGTTCGCCCCAATAAACAGTCCCGCCAGGGCCGTATATATGACTATGACGGTGCCAACGCCCGAAGACTCTTGCACCTCGGCCTCATCGTCATCCGGCCAATCACAGTTGCATTGCTCCGGCTGCTGGCCCAGCAACCAACCCATCATATTCTTGCTCGCCCGCCACAAATGCGTCATTCTGCAATGGGAACTTCACGGAGTACAACCGGAACTATAAGAACTACGGCAGCTACTAGAAGAGGAGAGACTAATCGGGTTTGGCTACGCCCCCACCTGTAAATTTTTGTATGCTGTTGCTGGCCCTACGAAGCACAAAGCTTACGCCTCAGCTCAAGTGATGTCTTGCTATTTGTTCCGAGATGTTTGCCGTACAATTTAAATGACTATTACTGGATGAAACTGACACATCCGAGATCCCGTTGAAAGCACTCAAACGACGCCTACTCGAGTCGGGGCATCAACTTGTTACAAGTTTAGTGTCTAAAAACGAATTGAAGGGGTTTTGGGAAATTCCACCCGCAAGTTTGGAAAAATCGCGGAAACGGTCGTGTAAATCAATATTGTTTACCATCTGTTTGGCCTCAAACTAACATTTAAAGGTCTTAGTGGAAGTTCATCTGATACGTGAACGTCTTTCACACTTCAGAATTTCCACACACACACACACAAACCCCCGCCTTGGTGGAAGTAGGGGTCGAACATTTATTGAGTTAAGTTTGCGGTCACTTCCAGGGATCTTTTTTGAGACGTGTTTCACACTCTTCGAATATTCACAACTCCTGAAGCTTAAAGTTTCGTATGTTCAGCTTTAAACTTAATTTCAAAGCTCTACATTAGATCATAATTAAACTTAACTTTACTTTAAACGTGTTTCAGCGATTTTGGAAATTCCACCTCCGACTATGGTAAATTGGCGGAAAACGGTTGTATGAAAGTTGATTGTCTATCGTCCGATCGGAGTTAAGCTCGTTTTCAAGGATAATTGTGAAAGTTAATTCGATGCGTGTTTCACTCATTTTAAAAAGAGGATGCAAAATGCAAGTCAACCGTTGAATGGCTGAAGTTCCGAGCATAAGATCATTTCACACAAGAATTAATAATTCCAAATTTTTGTTAATAATTTGGTCGAGTTCATAATAGTTTTGAAATATCTGTGTAAAATAAAAGTACGTGTAAATTTTCCACAGGCGGGAAAAAGGGGAATTGATGTCTAAATTTTGAAGAAACAAACTTGGAGCGGACAAAATACCGGGAACTTTAAGGAGTTACAAGTAATAAATTTGTAGCTATATCGAATAAACAATGCTGAAGCACAACTTCAAATTAAAATTAAATTAATTAAATAGCTCAAACTTGGTATATGCTACGCTAATGATTGATTAAAAAATATTTGTCATATATGAAATACAAAAATACTTTCTTTTTCTTCGATAGCTACCCTCAGAAATTTGAATAGAGTGCTTTTATACTACTCATGCCGTCAAAGCAAAGAGACTAGTTCTTAGAAACGACTCGCCTGACTGATATTTACTTAATCGATTCGATTAATGGGATACCGACACCCCAAAGTAGAAAGTATATTTGTTTGTCCCAATTGAATATTATTTTTAATTGATTCATTTTTGAAAATAATGATAATCAGATTTAACAAAATTTTACCAACACATTGTTGTCTTTTTTAATATTTATTAATTATTTTCTATTCAAACAAAGCAAGCGGCCAATATGTATTGTGTGGGCAAAGCGTGTTCTTAAAATAAAGAAGAACTCACGGCACACCGAAGATTAAATTCCCTTGTATACACACAGCTTACGCTCTTGCAGATATGTGCGGAGAGTTGGTCGAGATATCTTAAACAACCAATAACCATACAAATAATTAGTTTTCGACTGCCCATGGCCCGATCCGGTTGGCTCTGACATACATACAGATGTACTGCCTGTAGCAGAAAGACGGACATATGCAGTGGCTCATCACTGAGACTGAGACTGAGACTGAAAAAGACGCACATTTCTATATCGACTAGTCTGTTGATAATGATGAAGAATATATGTACTTCATAAAGGCGAAGATTTCTCCTTCTATGCTGCTACGAAAAACTATCGAAAAGACAACTCTTGTAATGAAAATCAGGTCAAATATAAGAAATCAGTTTTAGGTGCATCTTATTTGAATTACTTTAGATTAATAGACAAGTTTGTAATTGCCTCTTCACGCAGCACGATTCGGACAGGGATGGGCTTATCAGCACACACGAGCTGAAGGGTCTTATATCGGATGGCTACTGCCGGGACATACCGGCGTACATTGCCGAGCAAATACTGCGCAGGAGCGACGTGGACAACAATGGGCACCTGGACTTTGACGAGTTTTATACCATGTCGCTGCACCACAAGTGGATGATACGCAATATGCTGACCAGATATTGCCGGTATGTGGTGCCCCCGCCAAAGCCGTTGGAGGGCGACGAGCCGGATGGTGCGTACGAAAAACAAATGTCCATCTGCCCGCCCCCGCTGACCATGGTCATCTTCTCGATCATCGAGATCATTATGTTTCTGGTGGACGTCATCTACTTTCAGTGAGTTGCTTTCTTACACCAATTTGCTTGAATGATTTATTGATGTGTGGCAAAACTTTGTGCTAACAGGGACGATCCGAATCACAACCAGCGCCTGGGCGAGAGCACCAACGGACCAGCGGCGACGCTCTTCATTTACAATCCGTACAAGCGCTACGAGTCGTGGCGCTTTCTCAGCTATATGTTTGTGCACGTGGGCATCATGCACCTCATGATGAATCTGATCATACAGATCTTCCTTGGCATTGCCCTGGAGCTAGTGCATCACTGGTGGCGTGTGGCGCTCGTCTACTTGGCCGGCGTACTGGCCGGATCAATGGGCACCTCGCTGACCAGTCCACGCATTTTTTTGGCAGGCGCCTCCGGCGGTGTATATGCCTTAATCACTGCGCACATTGCGACGATTATCATGGTAAGTCTTTATATACCGCTGCATAGCACGTTAAGTGTCAACTCACATTTCGAATCCCACCTGTGTTTGCAGAACTACTCAGAAATGGAGTACGCGATTGTACAGCTGCTTGCCTTCCTTGTGTTCTGCTTCACCGATCTGGGCACGTCAGTGTACCGCCATCTGACTGATCAACATGACCAGATTGGATACGTAGCGCATTTGTCTGGGGCCGTTGCTGGCCTCCTTGTGGGAATTGGGGTGCTGCGCAATCTGGAGGTGCGTCGCTGGGAGCGCATACTCTGGTGGGTGGCTGTGCTCTTCTACTTTGCGCTCATGACCACCGGCATCATTGTGCACATATTTGTGCCCGACTACTTTCCCAAGCCCGAATACAACTGATCGCCATTGCGATCCGGACCAATGACAAATTAGCTTTAAGTAGCGCATAGCCTTAGCCTCAGGTTGTCCATGTACATGTCCAAAGTGAACTTGATGTAGGCCATCTATTAGCTTGAGCACGTGTAAATTTTAGGCTTTAGTCTGTGCTATTTTCTACCATCGTTGGTTTGTGGTATATTTAACATCCTCAACTGTCATTTGATGTGCATCTACCGCCTCCTTACTCTCCCTAATTAATGCTTTGTATACCGCAACATATGACCTTTACTAACACTTCGCTACAAGAAAGGGCTTACTCCCGATCAGAACTGATTCAGCCCATTTTCCTCACGCATTCTCTGAGCAGCTTTACTCGCATCATTTTCATACTCTCATTCATTTGGCTACTACTCATTACCCAAACTAATTCAATCATATTATCCTATCATTTGCTCTCGACTTGTTTAGCCATATTGTAACCTGAGCAGGTTATTACCCTACATTTACGCGACTAAGTAAACTTAAATATACTAGACCTTTTAGGTTCTTTATATATATATATAAACAACGTATCATTTATTTTTCGATACATATATTGCTATATATATGGCATACTCTGTGCCTAATGGCTTAAAAGGGCATAGCTCTCTTGCTCCCAAAACAGTTAACATGCATTAATCACAATTTGGATTTATCTCACACCGTTCAATCAATTAATACTTGTGAAACCCAAAAGAGTCGAACGATTCAGTAATCATGCCTGCCCATTCCCTTTTACCAGGATAAACATTCTTTTCATGCTGTACTCATCTGAAACGATGACTAGTTACTTAAAAACATATATATGTATAAATTTTTTTATATTTATAACACATTTGTATTATTCTATACACATATTTATTTTTGTAACATTTATATTGCATATATGTATGTGTGTACAGCAAACTGCGAAAGCCCACTTTGCCAGAACCCCTCCATGTACACAACTAATATACTTACGCACAATATAATACCCAAACGGCCGATTAAACAATCTAAAAATATCATGTTTATCAAGTATTTTAAAATAGTTGTGCATTTCACAAAACTTACAATGCGTAATCTTAACATTTCTTCATTTGTACAAAAACAAAATATGTACACATAAATTACGCAAATCCAGTAATAAAAATATGTATTAGATTTAGATATATTCTTATGTTTTTAAATGCTACTTATTAAAATAAAACGTTTTGATTTTTTACAAAAACAAACGTGTTTTTCTTTGTATTTTCATGTATTTAACGTGTTAAAATAACGTGTTTTTTTTACGAAAACAACGTATCGTGTACATCGTGTAATGCACACGCTCCTATAACTTAAAATACTCTGGGCTTGAGCTACAAGGTATTGTGTAGCTTGTGATGTTGAAATTAAGACTCAGTCTTTTTTCTCTCAAAGAACAGCCGGGCGGCAATACGGTATAAACGTGACGGTAGTCGCCCTCATTCTTACACCCTGAAGATTATATAGTATCTATAGAATATATGTATATGTATATATATATTTATATATATATTAATATATTTATATATATATTAATATATTTATATATATATATTAATATATTTATATATATATTAATATATTTATATATATATATACATATACATATATACATACAATACATATATATATATATATATTGATAAAATATATAAGGTAGCGATGGAAATTTAATCATGCGAAATTCCAGACGTGTCATTCGGTGAAGCCGGAAGGAATTTAAGATTGGTTGTCTCGCTCTGGGAAACCTTGGCGACTGTTAGCCAGGCCTGAGGCATCATGTGGTGTAGAATGGATTCCAGGCGATCCACCGGCAAATAGGCGATTGGCTCATCGGACTCATTTAGTATATCATTGTCAGGCACACCTGGTATCGGCAGTGCGACCGGAATACAGTCTTTCTCCTGGTTCATAGCCAACGCACGCGTGACACTCAGCAGTTCGTAAGTAAGACCCAGACGGAATACATTGAGCTGTTCGCTGTTTTCATTGATGGCCTGCATAATGTAACACATCATATAGGCCGTATTATTATGGAAGTTTGGCATGAGTAGTAGCTCCTGGACCGTTTTACAAGCTGCCAACTGACGGCTAAGTTCTGCATCCACGTTGACATTAATGAGCTCGACACGTTTTACACTGCCGCCGGCGGCGAGGCCTTCCATAATCTCGTTGATATTAAATGAGCGATTGCTGTGGTGGTTTTCTAGGCGCAAGTGGCGAAGACGCTTCAGACTCGGTAGCACTTGCTGCCCAAACGTCGTAACCTTCATACCACGACAGGAGCCTAACACAAGCGTTTCGAGCTGTTTCAATCCCTGCAGCTGCAACAGCTCCAGCTGCGCCATGTTGTTAATGCCGCGTAGACTTAGCTCCCTCAATTGTTCTAAATTTTGCAACGGCTGCAACGAAAAGATGCCGGCCTTGGGCTCTATCATGCGAATGCGCAGCACGCGCAATTCCAGCATCTTCTTCATATTAGCCAGGCTGAGTGCACGACTGGTGCATGTGGTGCGCAGCTCCAGCAGACGTGGTATACATTTAATAACTGACTGGATAAATTCCGCCTCGCAAGCATCAGTGCGCAGAATGCGCAATGCTTTTAGCACACGCAAATCTCCATCCATGCGCATCTTGGGATTAGTCATTTTGACCCCCATCATATCCAGTTCGCGGGTGCGATAACGCACCATATCACGCAAAAGGAACAACCAGTTAGTTATAAGCGTGTCACGCAGCTTTAATGTGCGCCACACGCTACGATCGCGGGAAATCATCGACCATGTCTTGCATACGTTTGACATTCGCACACGATCCTGCGAAGGCATAGAGGATCAGTTTGTGTCAGCTCGTAAAGGATGCTGCATTATGTAAACTTACGTGCAAATCCAGTGTCTTCATAACAGCCGACATCACCTGGCAGCTTAAGTTGCCAGCAGAAATGCATTCAACGAAATTTTGACGCTTCTCCTTAGCCGTGCAGTTGCGCTTAAGAAAATATTTTTCATAAATCTCCAAGTCCGGTTCGCGTGGCACGCTGAAAAAAGACGGAAGAAAGATTTAATTTCAAAATTGGAGATATGCAGAATTCAACCAAAATTGATAGCTTAATTACATTCTATACTTCGCAAACGCTTAGACCCTAATTTCTATTTATTTTCAGAAACGTTAAAAAAGCCACTTCCCCTTGCAGGGATAACTAACTGATATCCAATGCAATGACTTTTGACCGTGACTTGAGTAAAAATGTATTTTTGCAAATTGTGGAGTTAGGCGTGGCAAGAACAATTATGGCTCGTTCTTTAAAGGTCATCAGTAATCAACCAGACTTATCTCTAAGACTGCGGGTGATATCGAATTTGCATGTTTTTAAAATTATTTTTCAATTAACTCTTAATTGTTCCGCCGTTTTCTCCGTTTCTATATCGACAATTGTGTTTTTTTGTTAACCAGAATGATTAAGCATTGATCGCTATTGAGTAATTATGATCTATATTTCAATGGAACTGAACCGAACTGAACGGAACAGAAGTGAGGAAGACTGGGCGTCGGATGAGTACGCGCCCATGTTGTTTGCCTTCGTTGCGGACTCACACTTGTAAACGCGGACACGGCGGCTCGCCAGCAATAGCCAGAGCCTTACGACCGTTAATGACAACGACTTCCAGTGGCTTTGGCGTGATCTTGTTACCGGCACGACTTGCAGGAACCTCATCGCTGAGCAACTGGTCCGGCGGCAGCGCGCCCGGCAGTTCAATCTCTCCACCAATTTCCAGTAGGCCGCCATTGCCATTGTCATTGGCGTCGACCTCTGCATTCATATTTTTGTCAGCATCCACACTGGCAGAAGCTTTGGTATCAGTGCATAGATTCTCATCAATCAAGTCTTGCTTCTTGGTGCCGTTGGCAGGTCCATGTTCCGCTGTTAGTCCTTTAGCGGTTTGCTGTAAATTGGCAGCTTTGCTACTGGGTTTGACACATTGCTGGATAGGCAAGAATGAAGATGCAGATCAGTTTTGCTGTCTGAATCGGCGTGCTGCTACTCACCATACAGATGTAGCTGTTGACACTGGCGGTTCCGACGGGGTAGGCCTGCTGCTTTTCATTGATTAGCTTTAGGCAATACACACAGATCATCGTCTTGCCTTTACCTGACTGGAGTTGAATATTTGCCTGCACAGTTGGATCTGGTGCTGGCTTGGATGGTTGCTTTGTCTGGTTGCTGCTGAAGCAGGGGAATCAGTGAGAAAATAAGACAAAAATATATTTGAAGCAGCAGCCTACCTTCGTTTGCGAGCGCTGTTGCCAGCTCCAGAGCCGGGGCCGCCGCTGGTGTTACCATTGCTAGCTGCCAACACGCGAGCATTTCCCTTAACGGCCATGGTGGAAGTCCAACCCTCAGGCGGAGGGCTAGCGCCCTTGGGAACCTTAGGCTTAGGCACACGCTTGCCAGACACGGGTGCAGGCACTGGCGGGAGTTGTTGGTTGTTGACGTTGGCCAACTGTTGCTGCTGCTTGGCGACAGCTAAGGATTTCCGACGCACAGGGGCAGGCTGGGCCTGACGCACCGTCTCGTACTCCTCGCCGACCTGCTGCATCTGGCGCTGAAAGCAGAAATGATCGATGGTCAACTCGCCATTCAGCAGCGGAACGATGTCCTCGCGGGAGCGCAGCTTCTTGCCCCCCGGCGATATGAATATAACGTCACCCCGCTGACGCGACAAGGATGCACTACTACGCAGGACCAGCTCACGTTTCCAGCCGTACTTGAAGGGCAAGCGATAGAACTCATCAGTCGGATGCAGCTTAAATGCAGCGACCGAGCGACGGCGAGCGGGGGTCTTTATTTCACTGCTGGGTGGGGTCTGCTCTGCAGGCTCATTTTGATTGAGCATGGCGGCGGGGCAGATGCTACGCGCACGTGGGGTGCGCGGCGGCACATCCGGATTCGGATCATGCAACGACTTGGATCGAGTGCGCAAGCTGCAGCCATTATCCTGCTCTGATGGCTTGGTTCGTTTTGATTCATTCTGCTGTCCGTCGGCTGAACTTCTATTGGAAGTGACACGTTTACGCGAGCTTCTGCTTTTCAATGAGCCAAAAGAGGCATTTGAGTCCTCAACAGCGTCTAAATTTGCGACGGTATCAATACCAGTGGCGGCAGTGGAGGGCCGTTCATTTGAATGCTTGACTGTCTGCGTAGAGAGGAAGAGAGCGGGGGAAAGCAAATTAATAGGTTAGATGCCCAGCAATGCCAGTTTCCAAGACTAAGCCTAAAATTCCACCTGCTTTGCTACATCAGCTTGTGGTTCTGATTCTGATTCTGGCTCTGATGATGGTTCTGAACGAGGACAACTTGTTGCAATTGACATTGAGGCTGAATTGGTGTCGTTGTTGTTGACGTTGTTGTTGGTTGTCTGCGTAGACTTTGGACTTGAAGTAGTCGAATTTGTTGTAAGTGTAAAACATGTTGTTGTCGTTGTCGCAGGCGTTTTAAGTTGGGAAACTGGCGAGAAGGAAGTAGAATCAGAAGACGACGATGATGACAGCGGCGGTCGCTGCTCCTTGTCCTCTCTGGGAAAGATGCTCAGCCCAGTGGCACAGATTGCCTTTAGGTCAGTGGGCAGCTGCTGCATACAATATACAATATACATACATACATACAAACAAAGATACATAGAGAGATAGAGAACAAGACAAGTACACGTCGATGTAAACAAGTCAATGAAAGTCTTGACACCGGAGATGGAACAGCTGCAGTCACAGCGCTGCTCATGCCCGTGTCGTGCTTGGGCCGTTGACAATGCGTACTTACCTGCTGATCCACGTCCGAGCTACTCTCCAGACTATGGGTGGGTGAGAGATTGGGAAAGGGTCCGCTCCAGCCCATCAAAGCTACTTCCTTTGAGCCCCGGCGTTGCTTGGCTCTCTTGGCCTTACGCTTTTTGGCCTTGCGACTGCCTGCCGTTTCAGCTAGTACATGATGCAAGGATTTAGAATGGTTATGAGTCGCAAGCAAATTATTTTAAAGGAATTACCATTCTGCTCGGCATTTAACTGCTCCGCATGCTGTGAGATATCAGAGTCATTTTCGACAGAGTTCTGCCTGTTGATTTTATTGGTCTGCAGTTCATTGACTGC